CTCTTCATCACTAGCCTCGTTTGTTTTCTTTTATATACCACTATTGTGACGCAATCAAGCGCATTACCAGCCAAAGTCTGTATCGTCTCGAAGCTTATCTTGAATGAGACCATCATCCGATTACTTTCACATTGCTCAGTGGACCTCTCAACGACTGCGCTAGGATAGATGGCACAGAAAGGAAAGTTTCTGGTTCTTTGACTTCCACAGATCAGGCCACAGGAGATTTGAGAGAAAGAAGCTGAGCAATTTAATGGATTGAACATTATAGAAGGGAATAACCGTACAGAATCAATGCCATCAATCATTGATGTCTAGCCTGTGCTCCTTGACGGATGCTGTTCATTCTGTCTCTCAAGCATGGCACGCAGCAGCTTTTCAGCGGATTGAGGTTGACCGTCTTGAGAAGCATTCCTAAGCCAGTTGAACAGCGCTTGCACATCTGTCAGTACAGACGGTTTATCTGACTGTCCACGATCCCTTGCTGTGGTATCACCGTTATCCCCTGCGGACAGCTGGCCTTGGCGAGAGTCAGAAGGAAAGGTGTGCAATGAATGTCCGTTGGCTTGTGCCTCGAGGAGGATCTCTGCCACAAGCGCAGGTGTCAGGATACTCTTAAGCTGGTCCTCTGTGATGCGTTCGTTCTGCTTCCCGAGCAATGTCCGACCGTTTGAGTTCGGCTTCGACATGAATTCCCTAGTCGCAGGCAATGAATCTGCAACGGGGTCTGAGGTATCTTCATCAAGATCGGCAGGGTGCGCGAGGACAGACAAGCCCTCTGCGACGGAGAACGGCACGAATGAGTGATACACCATTGTAGAGGGCGTGATTGTAGATGGTCCGGTCTGTTCTAAATAACGATATTGAGGCACAGTGGTGTAATCCCGCACGCCCATGACACTGTTACTGTCATCGTCAAAGATTATCACAGCATCATCAGGTTGTCTTTCATGGCCCGAGCTGGCTTCCTCGACAGTCAAGAGACCGCCAGGGGGAGCCCGAATCTCTCCCAAGGGTGCAATATGACTCCCATACTCGTTGGCCAAACTGAGTTTGCTACGGCCGCATATTTCGCCAATCGTGTCCAAAGTATTTCGAATTTCAGGCTCGATGGCTCGCAGAATGCCATCGATACTAAAGTCCTCTTCCGAGGGAAGGCTTGGGCCACGCTTTGGCGTTCCAGACCGAACTGAAAATGGAAATGACCGCCGTGAAGGCATATTGGATGTTCCTCCAGTGTCATCTGTGATTCCAGAATATGCCCGAACCAGTACTGGCTGAGACGCTAACGTCGAGGACCGATTGCCAGAATGACTGGCCTGGCGATTGATCCAGGACAGAGGTCTGTGACTCCCATTGATTTGACGTAAGGCAGTGGTGCGGTATGCCCGTGCGGAATTATCTAGAGCAAGGCCGTAACGGCAGGAGCTTGCTTGATGAGATGGACCAACAGTCTCGACCACCGGACAGGAGTGAGACGGTGTGAGCTGTGACCATCTCTGGCGGGAGAGTGAGGACGATAGTCGGACTCCATCATGGTGGGATGACACCCTGTCTGACCTATAATCCATTATCAACAAAACAGGGTCCACAAAAAATATTAAGAAAGTTTCGATTTCTGGTTTGTTGTCAAATCAACCCATCAGTCAAGGACGATTCTATCCAAATGTATTCGTCGTACCTGTGATGCAGGAAGACGGGGAGGGAATACGGCCACCAGAAAAACCCCGCCCTCATGCTGATTCGCAGCTGCGGCTGATCCTCCAACAGTAATGGGGAGTCGAGCAGCTGCCAAATCACAGCATGTATAAGGCAGGACACGTATCTACGCTCGAGGTTCATGCGAGACGATCAAACCTGCATTGGCCATGAGAAAGAGTGCCATGTTGGCATGTATCTGAGAGACTCGGAAGACTCCAGTGTGAGAAAATTTCCAGGTAATGGTAGCTCCTTCGGATGCCACTTTGCTCCAATTAGTCGGATTTCCAAAAAAAATAATGTAGTAAGACAATGCGTTGGCATGCGACAATGACAGCGATTCCTTGTGGTATCACTTATCCATCTACTAGCGGACGGATCAAGCCACCCGAGGGGGGCAGTTATGCGGACGGGTCGTTGTTGCTACTACCTACTACTACCAACTCACAAACAACATGTCTTGAGGCCTTGATGAGCCAACCGGCTATGCTTCCAGTCATTACTCTTTTATCTGTGTTTGATATTCAATCATCATTAATCTGCACGAGGGTTCCTCTCAATCCAAATGAACAGGTTTCGTGTATGCAAACACTCCGTGTATAAACCCCATTGGCTCCCCCGCCCAAGACACTGACAGTTCATGCTTATAGTTTGACGACTCCGAGGAGTCGGCCTCAGATCTTGACGATGATACCTCCGACCTGCCATTCCCTGAGCCTCTCACTCGATCATCATTCCTCGCCCCCGACTTTAACCCCGCAGACTACCTCTCGTCCTTGACCAATCGGCACCAGAGCCTCGAAGACCTCCGACAAGAACTGCGGAATTTAGACCAAGCGCTCAGTCGGGAGTTGTTGGATCTGGTCAATGAGAACTACGGCGATTTTTTATCTCTTGGCAGCGCATTGCAGGGGGGCGAAGAGAAGGTCGAGCAGGTTCGGGTTGGGCTGTTGTCATTTCAGAGGGAGGTTCAAGCTATACGGGATAAGGTAGAAGCGAGGCAAAGCGACATGGAAAAGCTCTTGAATGAAAAGAGGCGACTAACAGGGCATGCGAACCTCGCTCGGGCTCTGTTAGACTTCGCAGAGCGTGTTGAGGACCTGGAGAAACGTTTGATGATTAGCGATGCACCGGCCCAGTACCGACGCGAATCGGCCGACGGATTCGAGACGGTCTCGGACCTGCTGGACAGCGAGAGTGAGGAAAGTGACGAAGAAGATCTGCCCACCGGCTCATCTGCAGCGCCGCTGGTGTCTCTGCGAAGACTGGAAAATCACATACAAAAATACGTCTACCTCACCCGACTTGCTTCGCGGATTGGCAGTGATCATCCATTTTTACTTAACCAACGACCCCGATTAGCAAAGATCAGGGCCACGGTGCTCGTGGACCTGAAGACAGCACTTGAGCAAGGCAGTCATGCTAGAGTGAGGCGGGATACGAAAACGATGGCCGTGTTGCGACTCTACAAACTAATGGGCGAGGATACCAGTGCAGTAACTGCATTGAAGAACCTGAAGATATAAGCTTCTCCCTTGTGCGTTGCGCGAGCTTCATTTTGCATAGCAGAGGCGTTTAGGATCAGGCTTGAGCTTCTAGAAATATATGTTCTCAGAAAACACCATTATGCACCGTGCTGTTCCCAAATAATAACGTCATCTGTACAATATACACCCAAGAAAATGGTCCAAAGAAATCACATATGTTACAAGCCGGTCAAAGAAGCGGTGTCAGGGGAATTGTCGGACTTGAACTCTCCATTCAGACTGAAGCCCGGGCCGTTCGTCGAGCTCAGAACCTGGTGCTGGTTAGTACGGATTGCATAATCGCGAATCATAAAGCCCGACTTACAACTTCGTAGATCTCCTTCACAATACGATCGTTGAGGCTGGCCGCGTCCTTCTTGACCTGTTCGATCGTCGCGCGCAAATTGTCTCTCAATTGTTCGGGGGAGAAGGCCAATTGCCCAATCGGTAGTCGAATAACGGCATCACGCTCTCTATATACTGTACCACCACGGAGCATCTCAACTCTAGCGGCTACATCTTCGACCACAGTACCGGTTTTGACGCTTGGCATCAAGCCTCTGGGACCAAGAATCCGGCCCAACCCGGCTTTGTTCAAGGCGTCCAAACTGTCGGGGTGACATATAAGGCGATCGAATTCAATTTTGCCTGCCTTGACCGCATCGAATACGTCCTGTTCACCTACCAGAACAGCTCCAGCGGCGCGGGCCTCCTTCTCATGTCTTGTTCCAGGAGGGCACACGACACAGATTCGCGATTCGGTCTGGACGGAGTGAGGAAATCGGAGCATGTTACGGATGACCGGCCCGTCACGTTTTGTTTTCAAACGGATATGGATTTCGTATTTGGAGACAGTCGGTTCGCGACCAACTTCGAAAGCGCGGAGATATCTGCAGTGAAATAGCCAGAGATTAGCGAGATACGCGAGTGAAGCGCCTCAGCCCAGACAATATCTACCTTATGGCATCGCAGAGCGCGAATTGCTCAACATCCTTAAGATCTTTCTGCTTGAACTCCCGGGGACCCTTCTTTTCCTTCTTGCTCTTCGCCTTGGCCTTCTTATTTTGGGCCTGAGGATTGCTCTTGGCTCCTCGCACCTGTTGGTGAAAGCTCGAGAGAAAAGGCGCCATTGTTCTTTGACGGAGAGGCAATTGACATGTTGAGAGAATACTTCTTGCCGCCGACGGCAAGATCGAGCCGAAGGAGGACATGGTTTGGAGAGTTAATTGATGCGAGCCTTCTTCAAACTCCTGGGAGACGGATATGTTTTCTTCTCCGAAAGCTCTCTCTCGGCGATGCGGGCGGAGAAACGTGACGCCGGCGGAGTCCCTTTTGAGTCAAATGCCCCTCCATACTGCTCAATTTTTGGGGAAACTCAACAGCCCACTTGTTACGCTCTCGGACGTCGATTTCACTTGAGGCGATTTTGAGGGCCGCAATGTCTCAGTATCAGCTTACCCTGGCCACCAGGGCCAATCAGCCCTATGTGCTTCCTGTCCTGCTGGTCGCAACTTCTATCAATGAGGCACGACCAAGCCCAGTGATATCGATCACCTATGAGGATACTGCGGTTCTTCGTGAAGGAGATAAGGCCGTCGTGCAATATACTGGTGCCAGCGGTAATCCTGTCTTTGGCCTTATCAATGCTATTCAAGAACTCCGCAAAGACTTCCCCTTCCTGAACAGCAAGGATGAGAAGCTGGTAAGAGGCGCCATGGAACCTTACCGTTGATGAGCACTGATAGGAGATGCTAAGACATATTTTCTAGGAGAATGAGTGGCTGTCTCAGTTAGAAGCATTTGCTCCTCTCGATTTCAAAGCCCTTGACCCTGAATTGCAGCGCCTCGATACCCACCTCCTGCTGAGATCCTTCGTCGTCGGTTACTCTCTCTCCACGGCCGACATTGCCATTTGGGGTGCCATCCGAGGCAACCGTGTCGCAGTGGCCGCGATCAAGAAGGGCTCACTTGTCAATGTGACTCGTTGGTTCTATTTCTTGGAGGATCTTTGCCCATGGGCCACATCTGCACTTGAGGCCTTGAACCAGGCTGCGAGAGAGAAGAAGGCCGCCAAGGCGAAGGAGGGAGCCAGCTACGACATCGCTCTTCTCAACACTGAGAAGGGAGTGGTGACAAGATTCCCTCCCGAGCCTTCAGGTTATCTTCACATCGGTCACGCAAAAGCTGCACTGCTCAACGACTACTTTGCGCACGAAAAGTATAATGGCACTCTTCTTGTCCGCTTCGACGACACAAATCCTTCGAACGAGAAGCTTGAGTTCCAGGACGCGATTATTGAAGATCTTGCTCTCATGGGTATCAAGCCCGACAAGATGAGCTACACCAGTGACTACTTTGACGAGCTTTACCAGTACGCTCTTCAAATCATCAAGGACGGCAACGCCTACGCCGATGATACCGAGAAGGAGGTCATGGCTGAGCAGAGAATGAATGGAAAGCCCAGCAAACGTCGTGATGCATCCGTCGAGGAGAACCTTGCCCGTTTCGAGGAGATGAAGAAGGGTACCCCTGAGGGTCTCCGTTGGTGTATCCGAGCCAAGATGTCTGTCGATAACCCCAACAAGGCCATGCGTGATCCTGTCATTTACCGCTGCAACCCTGCCCCTCACCACCGCACTGGGACGAAGTGGAAGATCTATCCTACCTACGACTTCGCCTGCCCTATCGTCGACTCAATTGAGGGTGTGACCCATGCCCTCAGAACTATTGAGTACCGCGATCGCAACCCTCAATACCAGTGGTTCTTGGACACACTCAAGCTTCGCCATGTCCAAATCTGGGATTTCGCTCGCATGAACTTCATTCGCACCTTGCTGTCTAAGAGAAAGCTTACCAAGCTCGTTAACCAAGGCGTCGTCTGGGGATGGGATGAGTAAGTCTACCTTCACTTCAAATAGATTCTTGTCTTACTAACGATATCAGTCCTCGTTTCCCCACCATCCGAGTAAGTAACAGGCCCAGTCATGCTTGCGGAT